ATCACAGCTCACAGCAACCTCCAACTTCTGGGCTCAAGTGAGTCTCCTGCCTCAGCCTCCCAAGTAGCTGGGACCACAGGCGCCCGCCACAATGCCCGGTTATTTTTTGGTTGCAGCCATCATTGTTGTTTTGGCGGGCCCGGGCTGGATTCGAACCTGCCACCTTAGATGTATGTGGCTGGTGCCTTAGCCACTTGAGCCACAGGCGCTGAGCCATAGATGATTATCTTAAAAAGTGTTAGCTGGCATTAGAGAAATGCAAATTATAACCAAAATGAGATACCACTTCATACCCAACCAGTGCTTTACAATTTGACAATGACAAACATAATTACCACATGACCCAGAAATCTATTCCTAGAGAAATCAAAATATGACTACATAAAAATTCTCCTAGAATGTTCACACAGCATTACTCACATCAACCAAAAAGCTGAAATAATCCAAATATCAATCAATAGGCTTGGTGCCTATAATCCAGTGGTTAGGGCACTGGCCACTTGTACCAGGGCTGGCAGGTTTGAACCTGGCCCAGGCCTGCTAGAACAAGAAGAACAACAAAAAATAGCGAGGCATTGTGGTGGGCACCTGTAGTCCCAGATGCATGGAAGGCTGAGGCAAGAGAATTGCTTAAGCCCCAGAGTTTGAGGTTGCTATGAGCTGTGATGCCATAGCACTCTACTGAGTGTGACAAAGTGAGACTCTCTCAAAATAAAGCCCACAAATATCCATCAATGTATGGAAAAATACAATGTTTTGCATCCATACAATGGGATATCATTCAGCCAAACAGGAATGATACACTGATACATGCTATACACGTAACGGACATGAATCCTAAAAACATTTGTTTTTTGAGACAGAGTCTATGTTGCCCTTGGTCAGAGTACTGTGGCATCACAGCTCACAGCAATCTCAAACTCTTGGACTTCAGCAATTCTCTTGCCTCAGCCTCCCAAGTAGCTGGGACTACAAGCACTCCCTATGACATCTGGCTTTTTTTTTTTATTTGTTGCAGCTGTTTAGCTGGCCTGGGCCAGGTTCAAACCTGCCATCCTCAGTGTATGTGGATGGCGCTATAACCACTGTGCTATAGGGGCCGAGCCCCTAAAAATATTGTTATGAAAAGCTGCTAGTTACAAAAAAAAGATATACTGTATGAATTTATTTACATGAAATGTCCAGAACAGGGAAATCCATAAAGACAGAAATTAAACTGGTGATTACCTAGGGCCAGAAATGAGGAGAAATGGAGTGACTACTAATAGGCGTTTCTTTGGGGGGTGGTGAAAATGTTGTAAAATTGATGTGGTGATGTTGTACAACTTTGTGGATATACAAAAAAACAAGAGAATTGTATACTTAAGGATGAATTTTATGGGTAAAAACATGGTTTCCACTGTCTTCCTATTTTTTTTTTTTACCATTTAAAAAATAATACACATATAATATTTATATAATGAGAGCTAGATCCACATTTTAAAGGGAGGGAGAAAGAACCTGGACTCTTAAAATACAAACTTCTCATTCAAAAACACTAAGAGATTGACTTGACACCCTGAAAGACTGGTTATTTGTTCAACTGTGGACCTGTTGGCTTTAAACTCAAGAAAACCCTGAACCTCAGTCAGGGAAGAGTGAGCAATAATAGTAGTACTGTTTACAGGCCCAGCCCTGTGCTTAACACTGTCTACTGTCTCCAACAATAATCTCATGTGGCATACATTATTGTCATTTCTTAAGTCAGACACAGTTTACACTGCTAAGTCTAAGACTGCACATAAGCTCTTCTCCAATAACAGGAACACTACCTGAAAGCCAAGGCCCACCGAAAGTTGAGCAAGATGCCACTCTAGCACAAATAACAATAAACTCCAACCCAGAAACTGCCCAATAATACAAGCTAGTATTTACTATTTTCTTCAATAATTAAATGCTTGATTATAAATTCAGTAAGAAACTGATTCTACAGATATAGACAGGGTTTTTTGTTATCTAAGTGCCTATTTATCTGCATTTGAAATCCCCAAAGTAGAGCCTTTTATTTATTTATTTTTATTAAATGGTAACTGTGTACATTAATGCACTTCTGGGGTACAGTGTGGTGTTTTCATAAACAATCCGAAACACTTCCATCAAACTAGTTAACATAGCCTTCATGTAATTTTCTTATTGTGTTAAAACATTCATATTCCGCTCATAGAAAGATTCACTTGTATCCTTGTAAGATGAACCACAGAAGTGAACCAAAAATAGAGCCTTTAGAAAACCTCAATACTTCTTCAATTTAAAAAACCTAGATACTACCCAACAAACACAATGTAACCTAATCATATATACCCTTAATCTGAAATTTTTAAAGAAAATAATACATATGCCCTAATAATTATACAAAATAAAAATCTAGACAAATGATGAAATCTTGCATACACTCAAGTCTGAGTGAAACATAAGGCCACACTGGAGAGTGGACATGTGAACACTCCGTCTCTGCTCCCTTTCCCTAATACCAGTTTCTGGACAGATAGCCATTCTTTGGTGAAGAGTAGTAATCCCCAATTCCCCAGCCACTCTTTAATAACAATGGCATTTGGTGTATGAACTTACATCTTTAAACACATCTTCAGGATTTGGGAATTTCTGGGACCATAACTTTAACCCAGCCTTCCATAACAGTCTTTCTACTTTCTATTACAGAACATGACACTTCAATAACAGCAATGAACCGCTTAAGTTTTTTCACTTCTGCAGAAGCTAAAACAACTTCTCCAATATATAAAGGGGCTGGAAAGTTAATTTCCTGAGAAAGAAAGACACAGCCTGGTCCTGGCATTTTAGTACCAAGGAGAGCTGAGATAAGTCCATTGATCAAAACCCCATGTACAATTGTCTTTCCGAACTTGGTGTGTTTTGCAAAATCTTCATTTAAATGCAAAGGATTGACATCGCCTGTTAACTCTGAGAAGGTAGCCACATCCCTGTGTGTGAAGGCCCTGCTAAGTTCAGCCCGGTCTCCAACTTTGACGCGCATACGCTGACAAGGCTGCCTGTTCAGCACTGGCTGGTTCAGGCAGACTCTCCTCCGAAGCCCAGCCCACCAAAGACGATGAATGGCAATTATTGGGAACATTTTTCAGCACCCTTGAATTTCATGAACAGAGGCTTTTACCCTGCTTCAGTCTTCAAACATCATGCAGGGACCAAAAAATATTTTTTAGAGTGAAGAAATATTTCTGAAATTGCAGGCTATTCAGTCCAATACTAGTTCCCTACTATTACCAGATAATGCAAGGAGAAATGGAGAAACCTACAAGAGAAAGAAAAAGGTTAAGACAATATCCAACATAGGGAGAAAACTGCACTGAAACACAAGGCAATGAGGAATAGACCCAGTTTTACAGGATAAACAAAGCTGACACCGTAGCACTTTAAAGAGCATCCTGGGAGGAAGCTTTAGTTAAACAAGTATTGTAAGCTCAGAAAGAACATTCTAATACATAAAACTCTAGGCATTAAGCATTAAACGCAAAGTTATGCTTTTACCATAAGACCTGCAGGTTTTATACCAAAACATCTCCCACAAAAACCAAAATTTAAGTGCTCTGTCTCATATTTTTGGAAACAATCAAATCCTGGGTTTTTCCCCTTAGCTGGATTGATGTTAACCATATTACATTTATACCAGCACAAAAATGAGACCCTTATATATTAAGAAACAACTGACTCACTGCTCATTCTTATACAGAATACATAAAGGAATTGTCTTTTTTTTTTTTTTTTAGAGACAAGAGTCTCACTTTACCACCGTTGGTAGAGAGCTGTGGGGTCACAGCTCACAGCAACCTCCAGCTCTTGGGCCTAGGCAATTCTCTTGCCTCAGCCTCCCAAGTAGCTGGGACTACAGTCGCTCACCTCAACGCCCGGCTACTTTTTGTCACAGTTTGACTAGGGACAGGTTTAAACCCGCCACCCTTGGTATATGGGGCTGGAGCCCTACCCACTGAGCCACGAGCACCGCCCATGAAGGCATTGCCTTTACCTGAATCACTCTGAAAGCACATTTTTTGCCTTTGTAGGATCCTAATAGGGTCAAAGAGCTCCACAATTTGACAAGACCACTGCAAAAAGGTCAAGAAAATGCATGTGTCACAAGCACAGAAAAAAATGAATCTCAACTAAGAACATTTTTAAAATACACATTTCTAACAACCACAACTATCAATTGGGAAACTACAGTTATAACCAAATTATAGTTTTGCTCTCTCTAGAGTTAAAGTTTCTGGTGGAATGTTCATAATCGCCCCAGTTTAAACTCCCAAAATCTGCTCAGCATTCACAATAACAAAATTCTTCTCATTCTCAGAAGAGAGCATTTTTGTCTTCTTTCTCCACCAGTCTCTCTGTCTTATTACACTAAAAACGTTCCAAAGACTGTCATACCTGCTACATATTCTCAAGATGGCTGACAAAGTCTTTTCTTCATAGGTTAGGATGTCCAAGGGTAAGGCAGCATCAACCTACATATGGAATAACACCATTAGCTGACTATCATCACCATTACTCTTGAACTCTTCTAATCCTGTCAACTCTTTCTGAATTTCTCTCCTCCACAAAACCAGTATCTTTTTTTTTTTTCTTGAGACAGAGTCTCAAGCTGTCGCCCTGGGTAGAGTGCCACATTGTCACAGCTCACAGCAACTTCCAACTCTTGGGCTCAAGCAATACTCTTGCCTCAGTTTTTCTATTTTTGGTAGAGACAGGGTCTCGCTTTTGCTCAGGCTGGTCTTCAACTCTATGCTCAAGCAATCCACCCACCTCAGCCTCCCAGAGTGCCAGGATTACAGGCCATCACTGATTGTTTAACGTGTTATCCTGCTATGAGAACCATTAGTTCAGGAGTAGAGGCCATGTTTGTTACCTTAAAAACCCCAGGAAGCTGGGCGGCGCCCGTGGTTCAGTGGGCAGGGCACTGGCTCCATATACTGAAGGTGGCTGGTTCTAACCAGGCCCCAGCCGAACTGCAGCCAGGTGTTGTGGCAGGCGCCTGTAGTCCCAGCTACTCAGGAGGCTGAGACAAGGGAATCGCCTATGCCTAGGAGTTTGAGGTTGCTGTGAGCTGTATGATGCCACGGCACTCTACCGAGGGTGATAAAGTGAGACTCTGTCTTTACAAACAAAACAAAACAAAACCAGGAAGCAGGTTTTATACCTGACACATAGAAGGTGCACAGATTTTTAAAACTTTTTTTAGAAAAACTATAGGCTCGGCTCAGCACCTGTGGCTCAAGCAGCTAAGGCCCGCCAAACAATGATGGTTGCAAGCAAAAAATAGCCAAGCATTGTGGTGGGTGCCTGTAGTCTCAGTTACTTGGGAGGCGAAGGCAGGAGAGTCACTTGAGCCTAGGAGTTGGAGGTTGGGTTGCTCTGAGCTATGATGCCATAGCACTCTACCCAGGGCAACAGCTTGAGGCTCTGTCTCAAAAAAAAAGAGAAAAACTATAGACTCACAGAAGATTGCAAAGATATGTACAGGGAGGTTCCAGGCACCCTTCACTCAGTCTTCCCTGATGTCAACATCTTTAATAAGTATTCTAACAGTACCAAACCAGGAAATTGGTATTGGTACACTCTAAAGTTTATTCAGATTTTACTAGTTACACATGCACTCTTAACTAGTAATATGTGTGTACCTGGGGTTCTACATGATTTTTTTTTTTTTTTTTTTTTTTACAGTTTTTGACCAAGGCTGGGTTTGAACCCGCCACCTCTGGCATATGGGGCACCCTACTCCTTTGAGCAACAGGTGCCACTGTGGTTCTATGTGATTTTATCACATACATAGCTTCATGCAATTACTATCACAATCAAGATAAAGAAATGTATCATTCCAAGACCCCTTTGTTCTACCCCTCTATAACCATATCTGTTTCTCCTCTCCCCTATCCTTAACCTCTAGCAACCAGAGTCTAATCTTTCAACAAATACAATTATTGTATTTTAAAAGCATTACATAAATGGAATTACCCAGTATGTAATCTTTTTTTTTTTTTTTTTTTTTTTGAGACAGAGCCTCAAGCTGTCACCCTGGGTGGAGTGTCGTGGCATCGCAGCTCACAGCAACCTCCAACTCCTGGGCTCAAGCAAGTCTCCTGCCTCCGCCTCCCAAGTCGCTGGGAGTACAGATGCCCGCCATATCGCCTGGCTGTTTTTTGGTTGCAGCCATCATTGTTGTTTGGCAGGCCCAGGGTAGATTCGAACCTGCCAGCGGGTATGTGGTTGGCACCTTAGCCCCTTGAGCCACAGGCGCCAAGCCCCAGTATATAATCTTTTGGGACTGGCTTTTTTCACTCCCCATAATTCTCTGAAGTTTCATTCAAGTTGTGTCTATCAACAGGTCATTCCTTTTTATTGAGAATACTGTATATTCTATGGGTTTTTTTTTTTTTTGTAGAGACAGAGTCTCACTTTTTCGCCCTCGGTAGAGTGCAGCGGAGTCGCTCCAGCAACCTCCAACTCCTGGGCTTAGGCGATTCTTCTGCCTCAGCCTCCCAAGTAGCTGGGACTACAGGGAGAATACTGTATATTCTATGGTATGAATGTAACACAGTTTAACTAATTATTCACTGAAAAATATCTGGGGTTTTCCAGTTTTTAGTTACTGTAGAGAAAGCTGCTATAAACTTCTGTGTACACATATTTGTGTAAATGTAAATTCACTTCTCTCAGATAAATGCCCACAAATGCTAATGCTGGGATATATAGTAGGTGTGTGTGTGTCTGTTTTTTTTTTTTTTTTTTTGAGACAGAGCCTCAAGCTGTCACCCTGGGTAGAATGCTGTGACATCACAGCTCATAGTAACCTCCAACTCCTGGGCTCAAGCAAGTCTCCTGCCTCCACCTCCCAAGTAGCTGGGACCACAGGTGCCCGCCACACAACACCTGGCTATTTTTGTTTTTTAGTTGCAGCCATCATTGTTGTTTGGTGGGCCTAAGCTGGATTTGAACCCACCACCTTAGGTGTATGTGGCTAGTACCTTAGCCACTTGAGCCACAGGCGCCGAGCCCAGGTGTGTTTTTAAGAAACTGCCAAACTGTGTTCTAGAGTGGCTGCAGCCTTTTACACATGCTGCAGTACAGGCAAACCAGTTTCTCTACAGCCTTGCTTGCACTTACTGTGGTCATTATTTTTTGATTTAGCCATTCCAGTTGCATAGTAATATCTCATTCTGATGCACGTTATTATTATGTGTGCTTCCCTAGTGGCTAATGTTGTTAAAAATCTTTACAGGTGGCTCGGCGCCTGTGGCTCAAGAGGCTAAGGCGCCAGACACATACACCTAAGGTGGCGGGTTCAAATCCCCAGCCCGGGCCCACCAAACAACAATGATGGCTGCAACCAAAAAATGGCCAGGCATTGTGGCGGGCGCCTGTGGGCACACCGACGCAGGAGACTCGCTTGAGCCCAGGAGTTGGAGGTTGCTGTGAGCGTAATGCCATGGCACTCTACCCAGGGGGATAGCTTGAGGCTCCGTCTCAAAAAAAACACAATCTTTACAGGTGGATTTTTGTTTGTTTTTTTGAGACAGAGTCTCACTTTGTTGCCCTCAGTAAAGTGCCACGGTTTCATAGCTGACAGCAACCTCAAACTCTTGGGCTCAAGTGATTCTCTTGCCTCAGCCTCCCAAGGTGCCCACCACAATGCCCGGCTGTTTTTAGAGTTGAGGTCTCACTCTGGCTCAGGCTGGTCTCAAACCCATTAGCTCAGATGATCCACAAACCCTGACCTCCTAAATGCTGGGATCATACAGGCATGAGCCACTGCACCTGGCTTTACATGTGTTTCTTTTTATTTTTTTAATTTTTAAAATTTTTTTGCAGTTTTTGGCTGGGGCTAGGTTTGAACCTGCCACCTCCAGCATATTGGGCTGCCACCCTACATGTGTTTCTTTAACTACTGTGTATCTTCTTTAGTGAAATGTCTGTTCATGTTTTTGTTGCTTACTTTCTTATTGGGTTGTTTGGTTTTTTACTACTGAGACTTGACAGTTCTTTGCACATGCTATTAATAGATATTAGTCCTTCATCAGATAATGGGGTTTGCAAATATTTCCCCCAATCTGTAATTTGTCTTTTCATCCTCTTAACAGAGGATAACAAAACTTTTATTTTGCAGAATAAAAGTAAATTATGATGAGTGCTTAACAGATTTTCATTTGATAGACTATATTATTTTGCAGGGTTTTTTTCTTTTTTTTGGCCGGGGCTGGGTTTGAACCTGCCACGTCCAGCATATGGGGCCGGCGCCCTACCCCTTTGAGCCACATGTGCTGCCCTAGACTATATAATTTTGTGGCTCATGCCTGCAATCCTAGCAATCTGGGAGGCCGAGGCAAGTGGAATGCTTGAGCTCAGGAGTTCAAGACCAGCCAGAGCAAGAATGAGATCCCTGTCTCTAAAACTGGGTATGGCTGGGTGCCATGGCTCACACCTATAATACTAGCACTCTGGGAGGCTGAAAAAGGTGGATTGCTTGAGCTCAGGAGTTTGAGACCAGCCTGAGCCAGAGCAAGACCCCGTCTCTACTAGTAATAGAAGTTAGCTGGGTGTTGTGGTGGGTACCTGTAGTCTCAGCTACTTGGGAGGCTCAAGCAAGAGGATCTTTTGAGCCTAAGAGTTTGAAGTTGCTATGAGCTATGATGCCATAGCACTCTATAGGGGGCAACAAAGTGAGACTATGCCTCAAAATAAATAAATAAATAAATAAATAATTTTCCTGAGAATTCTCTTTGTTCTCTCTTTCAACTTCCAATACTACTTCTGTTCTCAAGTGGATGCTAGGATAAACCTGCTCAACTGAAAGTAATCAGTGATAAAATAAGGAGTTGAATCAGAATGTGAACGAACAGTATCACTAAGCACACTGTTTGGTTCAGCTCACCTTTTTTAAAATGAAGGACTTTTTCACTGAAGTAGGTAGAACTATTTTTGCTATGAACCCCTTATATCTTCAAGATGGGCAAAAAAAAAAAAAAAAAAAAAATGCAATTTGCAGGTTGTCTGTCCAGATCATACCTTGAGTAGCACTGTGCTAAAATATCTAACAAGTTCCCTGTCAAGTGGAAGGCTTATTAGACTCTACGAAAAAGTCACCATTTCTGAAAGTGTGCTTCTGTAATTTCATAGTTTTAAAAGCATTCTTTTTGTACTATTTACAAAGACTTCAGGAATGTTCAATCTACAAAATGATTCTGTACCTCTCCAAACAGGTCTTTCAGGGCTGAAATTAGCAGATGTTTGAACTGTGCAGCATTCAGTCCAACTCCATGATCTTGAAATTCTCTGTTAGAAAACATTTAAAAAGACATTGTATTAAATTTCATGCTATTCAGACTAATTTTTTTTTTTTTGAGACAAAGTGTCACTATGTTGCCCTCAGTAGAGTGCCGTGGTGTCACAGCTCACAGCAACCTCAAACTCTTGGGCAAAGCGATTGTCTTGCCTAAGCCTCCCAAGTAGCTGGGACTACAGGCGCCCACCATTAACACCCAGCTGGTTTGTTGTTGTAGTTGTCATTGTTGTATGGCAGGCCCATGCTGGGTTTGAATCCACCACATCCAGTGTATACGGCTGACACCCCAACTGCTGAGCTACAGGTGCTAAACCTCAGACTAATTTTCATGTGTTATACTTTTTGAGATAGTGTCTCACTTTGTCACCATGGTGTCATCATAGCTCACAGCAACCTCAAACTCCCGGGCTCAAGCAATCCTCTTGCCTCAGCTTCCCAAGTAGCTGGGACTGCAGACACCCACCATGATGCTCAGCTAGATTTTCTATTTTTAGCAGAGATGGGGTCTTGCTCTTGCTAAGGCTGCTCTCCAACTCCTAAGCTCAAGCAATGCACCCACCTCGACCTCCCAGAGTGGTAGGATTACAGGCATGAACCACCACACCTGGCCTATTCAGACTAATTTTTTTATTTTTATTTTTTTTTGAGGCAGAGCCTCACTTTGTTGCCCTCGGTAGAGTGCCATGGCATCAAAGCTCATAGCAATCTCCAACTCTTGGGCTCAAGTGATTCTCTTGCTTCAGCCACCCGAGTAGGTGGGACTTATAGGCACCCACCATAACACCCAGCCATTTTTTAGAGACTGGGTCTCGCTCTAGCTCATGCTGGTCTCAAACTCATGAGCTTAGGCCATCCACCCACATTGGCCTCCCAGAGTGTTAGGATTATAGGTGTCAGCCACCATGCCCGGCCCCCAAACTAATTTCTAAAAATAATCTAAAATAGAACTTAGGAAACTGAACTTACAGGCAAACTTTCATGTAGTGGTACTCTGAAGGATTTTTGTAAACTATTCTTTCATATGTGGTAGCTGGGGCAGGCATCTTTTCCAATGCTGATAACACCTACAGTAAGTCAAAAGGACTAGAAATTACCAGGGTACAAGATATTTTTCAGTTTTGTTTTGTTTTTTTCAGAGTCTTACCTTTGTTGACCTCAGTAGAGTGCTGCAGTGCCACAGCTTACAGCAACCTCAAACTCTTGGGCTCAAGCAATTCTCTTGCCTCAGCATCCCAAGTAGCTGGGACTATAGGTGTCCGTCACAAAACCCAGCTAATTTTTTTGAGATGAGGTCTCACTCTGGCTCAGGTTGGTCTAGGCCTGTGAGCTTAGGCCAAGGGCTAGGATTACAGGGGTAAACCACTGCTCCTGGCTATTTTTGTTTTTGTTTTGTTTTTATTTTGAGTCGGAGTCTCATTCTGTACTCTGGGTAGAGTGCTATGGAGTCATGGCTCACAGTGGACTCAAGCTCTTAAGCAGAATCAAAGCTTAAGTGATTCTCTTGCCTCAACCTCCCAAGGAGCTGGGACTACAGGCGCCTGCCACAATGCCTGGCTATTTTTTGGTTGTAGTTGTCATTGTTGTTTGGCAGGCCTGGGCTGGATTTTGTTTGTTTGTTTGTTTTTGAGACAGAGCCTCAAGCTATCACCCTGGGCAGAGTGCCGTGGCATCACAGCTCACAGCAACCTCCAAATTCTGGGCTCAAAAGAGTCTCCTGCCTCTGCCTCCCAAGTAGCTGGGACTACAGGCACCCGCCACAACGCCTGACTATTTTTTGGTTGCAGCCATCATTGTTTGGCAGGCCCGGGCTAGATTTGAACCCGCCAGCTCAGGTGTATGTGGTTGGCCACTTAGCCACTTGAGCCACAGGCGCCGAGCCCCTGGGCTGGATTTGAACCTGCCAGCTCCAGTGTATGTGGCTGGTGCCCTAGCCACTTGAGCTACAGGCACCGAGCCCTAACATGACTCTTTACTCAGCATCCTGTCTGATAAACATTTCACATGCCTTAGTTTCCATGTCTTCAAAATGATCCTATGAGGTAAAGGCTATTAATATTCCCATTTTTGAGAAGAGGACACAGAAGCTTAACAAAGATAGGTAAGCCTGCCCAGAAGCACTCAGATATTCCAACTACTCCTGACCCTCTCAAGACAACTCTGTCATGATACCTTTTTTTTTTTTTTTTGAGAAAAAGTCTCATTCTGTTGCTCTGGGCAAAGTGCTGTGGCATCATAGCTCACAGCAACCTTAAACTCTTGAGCTCAAGCAATCCTCTTGCCTCAGTTTCCCAAACAGCTGGGACCACAGACACGCATCACATGGCCTAGCTAGTTTTTCTATGTTTAGGAGAAACAGAGTGTCATTCTTGCTCAGGCTGGTTTTGAACTTCTGAGCTCAAGTAATCCACCCACCTCAGCCTCCCAAAGTGCTAGAATTATAGGCACCTCTTAATCCAAAGAAAAAGTACTCTCAGTCAACACAGAACACAAACAAGAGAATGAAGGGTAGTAGTTCTGCTAACCCCTACCATCCTGGGTCTGCCTGTTTTGTCAGTCCAGAGGCCAGGCCTGTGTAGCACTGTGAAAAACTGAGCTTGAACAACAAGGGGTTGGAAAACAATTTCTGGAATGAGCACTCCATTCTATTTCTAACAGAGCTAGAATTTTCAAGAAATTAAATGGCTCGGCACCTGTGGCTCAAGTGGCTAAGGCGCCGGTCACATACACCTAAGGTGGCGGGTTAGAATCCAGCCCGGGCCCGCCAAACAATGACGGCTGCAACCAAAAA